GCGGAACTACTGGCAGTGTGCGTAAGAGGTGCTGAACCTGGTTGTATTTCTTTGTAGGTATGCAGCTCTGATGAGAGCCTCTCAAACTGCCTTCAAGTCAACGGGAGCAATTGGAGTGCCATCTAATGGGAGTTTTCAGCACAACAGGTACGAGCTGTGGAATGGGAAAAGATAAACAAGATTGTTTAAAAATAGTCCTGTGTCAACATGGTGTAGGAGTGCCACTGTCAGACCTCTAACTGCTCTAGAGGTGGTACTTGGCCTTTGATCAGTATTGGGAACGTGGCAGAGGGGTTGTGACAGCAAAAGTAAATCTTTACTTCTCTGTACTCTAGTGAAATAGCTATATAGATGCAAGCGTTAGGATATCAAATTGTTGACATCAACAGCAGGCTAGTCTTACACCTGCTCAGTGTGAGGCTTGGCCAAGTTCTGGAAAAATGGTATGTCATCAGAATGCTGAGAGAAGTATAGCAAGCATCTGAATTAAAATAAATGACCCAAGCCCTTCTCTGCCATGGGGTATCTCCTTGTGACTGAAAGTTTTAGCTGTGTAACTCTTACAGTGCTTTCTTATGTCTTTCAGATGCAGATAGTAGAGGCTCTTCACATCTGGATCAAACCTCTCTGTGCTTTAAAGTTAATCTTGTCTATAGGTCTTTACAATTTTCTATGCAGTTAACTTATTTTTGTATCATAATGTTTTATGTATTCAATAAACTGTCACCCTTTCCAAGCCAACTTTATTTGTTCCTGTATTTGGAATAAGAGCTATGAAAAATACTTGGTGGAGGAAACTGGGTAGCGGTGGTAGGAAGAAGACTGAAACTAGTGTGAGAGACAGCCAGCTTAGCTTAGGTCGTGCTAAATCTGAACTATGAGTTTCCCAAGATGAAAGTCTGTCATATCTCAATCCTTTTGGAAATGAACTGGCACACAAAGCAGCATTCTGCTTGAGAAACAGCATATGTCAACATGAAGCCAGTTTTATATAAACTGCCTCTTGGTTTCTGAATGTTGTTGGAAGTACTTGCTTTATAAAGCCATACCTAGTTTTTGGAAGCAATTCACTGAAGACTAGTGCTCACAGAGGCATGCACAGTATAAATCTTCATCATTTAGAAACCTCAAAAAACCCCATGCAAATCTAGTTGGGGGGAAGCCGGAGAAAGTAGCATGTTTGTGTCCCACGTAATGAGAATGAGGGCAAAATACAGCATTGTCTAGGGAGGCTGCTCTTGCTGTGTTCCTGAAAAGCTTAAACAAGTGAAGATATAACAGATATGCTCCATCTATTACCTTGATCAGCTGTCTTGGCTCTTTAAAACTGCATGAATATCCAGCTGCTTAGCTTGGGGCCTGAAATAGTGTAGGTTGATGAAATGGAAATGTGCTGTTAATGAACAATGCTAATTCCCCAGCTGGGATCTAAGTAGACCTCTCATCGAACTAATTGTGAGGAAAAATGCCAAGGCTTACTGATGATGTCAGGGGGGTCAAGACCTCAATTTCATGTGTCATTGGAGCCATTCCTCTGCACACTGGGGCTGGTGGGCTGCAGTGTTGGTTTAGGACTAACTGAAGGGTAATTGCAGTCCCTTGAACGACCTGCAGCTATGAGACCCCAATGCTGTTTTGCTGAGGTGGGAGGATGAGCAGTCTGTTTAGCAGAGAATGCTGTGTTCCTTGCCCTGGGAAAAAATAATCTTTGGTAATACTGTAAGAGATGTGAGCATAAGTGCAATTAAGGCATACACAATCTTGAGGTGTACTGCAGTTGTGCAAAGACTGTTGTGTGCCTCTTGTTTCTCTCTGGAGAGGCTTAATTCTTAGGTTACAACTGCTGCCTAAAGACGAAAAGTGGATTTATAGCCCTCCACAGGGATAACATGCAAACAATCAACATATTGAGTTGTAGGCCTTTCATGAGAAAGGGTAGAGATGATGTAATTTCTGGCCAACATAGAACAAAATATCAGTGCTAGCTCATATTCATGTTTGGCCCAATGTGATTTCTTCTCATCCAGAAATTTTTTTGAGAAGACCAAAGCTATAGGGAAGGCTGTAGTTGGCCAAACTGAATGTGTAATGTAGGTACAAGTTACCACTGCTAATTCCATATGGTCTAATTTTATGCAATCGTGTGGTCAAAACTGATTTGACAGTATCTGTAATGCTGTGTTTAACCACAGGATGTCACAATAGGACACGTAATAAAACAATCGTTATTGTAGGAAGTCTAAACATGGGAAACATGCTTTCCCTATTCACGTTGGAACAAAAGCTTAAATTACAACTCTAAAATTAGATATCGCCACCTCCCGATTATCCTGTGTGCTCTAACGCCATGGCTTAGCTCTAGCGCATTGCTACAGTACTAGGACTTTTTTAATCTTTCTGAATAACATATAACTGGCCACACCTTCCCAAACAATGCTGTGTACCCCACCGGTGGTACGGGAAGGGGTTTCCAGTGGAGAGCAGCAGCAGCCAGGTGCTGACCATGGCGTGAGAACACGGACCAGCGCCGAGGGGCTCTGCCCAGCCCAGCAGCGATGGGTGGGGGACAGGATTGGCACCCTGCGGCGCTGGGAGGAGGTGGAAGATGAACGGTGTGACCCTGTTGGGACAGGAGAAGGGAACCGAGGGGTGGAGGTTCACCTCCTCCCATCGGTGCGTGTAAGAGCACCAGGAGCTGCTGGCACAGCGTCGCGGCTGCCGCTGGATCAAAAACCCTGTTTCAGGTCGTCATGAACAAACAGCTCCGTCTACGTGTTTGTTTGCGGGAAATATTCCTGTCCTCGAATTACCAAGGGGGAACGGAATCATAGAATCATAGAATCGTTAGGGCTGGAAGGGACCTTCAAAGGTCATCTAGTCCAACATCTAGTCCGTGTGTGTCTGTGCACACGGTATTTCTAGAAAATGAAAACACGGGAACCATCTGGTTCCCTGGAAAAGGAACCCTGGAACCAGCTGGTTCCCTGGAAGCCCTGTCCTAGGAGATGTTTTCTCGTCCTCGCAAACC